ATAAAAAATATTTTTTTTACAAAAATCTTATTTTTTTTATTAACTTTGATGTCCGTTTTCACCATGAGATTAAATTAAAGTCCGAAATTTTTTTTCCATAATAAAATATATTACATAAGCTTTAATTTAAGATATACATAAAAGTGTAAGTATTTCCGAAACACTTTCAAAAGTTAAGTTGAAAACGTTAAATTTTCTATATACATTTTAAAGTTTTGAACCCCCCTTGTATAAAATGTAATATATTTATATAAATATAAAGTTATATATGATCTTTTGACGTATCATTAAAAGAAATCGGTTCGGTGAGAGCTTAAGAAAAGTGGTAACAGACACAAAAAAATAATAATAAAAAAGAAACATCATAGTAAAATTAATACCTTCTTAGCTTCGCATCAAATCTAAAAACGAGTACTGTTTTATGTTTATGTTTTTCAATTTTAACCAACGTTCATTTATATTCCAACTATCTTAACTTTTTTTAAAAGTATTTAACAATAAATAGCTAAGTAGCCTACCTAGCATGCATCGGTGTGTATGTACGGGGATTCAACTCCATTGCACTGGGCTATGTATATTTTTCCATTCCTTCTAGCACAAGCATTAACTTTTAGAAAGAACGTGAAACATGATTAAAATAATTAATTTATAGTTTTAAAATATGTAGTACGGCTCTAAATTACAATGAAACATTTTCAAATAGCTCATAAATAAGATTATTGTGTATCGAAATAATTTTCACCTCATTTTTATGAACATCAAATACTGTTATCATTTATTTTACTTAATTATTATAAAATATGATTAAAATCACTCTCTATGACTCATAAAAAAGGTTAACTATTTACCAATTTGTTTCGGTACTTTATTTTATCATGTTTTCTAACTTACTCTCATGATCATTCGTAAAATCTAAAGGATGAAAGAAATTAAATACAAATTAGGAACGCAAAGTATATTATGTGTAGGTGGTGGAATGCGCATGAATAAAGAACTTTATCGTACTTTTAAAATATCAAATTATGGTTTACCAGACTGTTATCTACATATTTAAAACTTTTAGCAGCTCTACCTTAGGTTAATGAATACTATGTACGTTATGCAGTATAAAAGTCTAATGCTGCCTGTAAAACCATCTAAAGATATGAAACTTTCTCCCTGTACGTATGCTATTACATTCCACTCATATACCCATTATAATAAAGACTTATTGCATGTTACTTCAAAAACTATAAACTATTGATCCAGAACTGATGACAGATTCTTAACTTTTTATACTCTATTGGTAAACAAACCACTATTTTAATATTATTACATACCATACAAATAGATTAAATTGAGAACGTAGGCGCTATGCAAGAATCAAATCAAATAAATTTCATGAGCCAAATTTTAATTATAATGTAGTTTATTTAAACTAAATTGACATTTAAGTTAAATTATCTCGTTTTACTGGTACTTTAAAAATGTACTGTGGGATTTGACAATCATATTTTATGTCACACATCGTGTTGTTAAATTGTAGTATTTTTTGTAATAAAAACACTTTTATTCGATTTTAAATAAACTGCATAAAATTTAGCTACTATTTAACTCTCTAAAATAAAGTGACTAGTTTTTTTTTGCACGATATCGTTTTAAATCTTTGTGATGTGTAAAAAACGTAAATGTAAAAAAAGATAAATAAAACAATAAAATGTTCATTAATAAAAAAAACTCAGTACAGTGGGGTGGTGGCACAAGGGGACGTGGCAAAGTTGGGTACAGTATAGATGATATCTGACAGTGATTAAAAACAGTANAATGGGGACGTGGCAAAGTTGGGTCCAGTATAGATGATATCTGACAGTGATTAAAAACACTACCATAAAAAACACTATAATACAATTAATTATCAGTAATAGTATCCAACTTAAGTACATTTTGGGATGAAAGTACTGTCCAGTATATCTTTGCGATTCGATAATGAAAATAAATTGTTCTATAATAAATCTAATAGTCGTCATTAATACCATTAAAGGAAAAAATTGCGACATACATAGTACATTATTACACTATTTTTTCCTATGAAATTTAATGAAGATGTTTTTTTTTTAGTAGTAATTAAAATATTAATTTAATTAATAAATAATAACAGCTGTTACAAAGTCTAGCTTATTATGATGAAAAATCAACAAACGTATAACTAAAGAGAAACTTTAAATAAAATTATTTTGTAGTAAAGTTTAAACATTTTAAATAGATTTAATAAATTGAAAATAATTTACAATGTCTGGTGAATATTTTAATACGGAAGATAAGATCTTATATAATTTATCTACCAATTCAATAATATGTAATTGTGATTTGCGAGGCAATAGCAGTTGTAGTTTTCATGAAACAACGACCCTTACAAATGACTTAGTGGCGGATGTAATTAATGGTAACTTTTTTCACACTTTAAATTCTTAATAGACAAAAATAAAATGGTAATTTTTTATCTTCTCTTTATAAAGATTATGCAGAGGAAAAATATACGGACTTTTCAAAGCCTTTTAAAAAAACAATGATACGTTGTTCTGGTGGATATGAAAAGCCTGAACTTTTAAAATGTTCATACAGAATACTTCCCGAAAAGCAAAAATCAAATACTAGTTGTGTGAGTACTATCCCATGTTTGTCACAAACTCTTTCAACTTGTAGTATTAATCGGAAACCGAAAAAACCTGGTCAAAATATACAAAATATTTGGCATAATATAAATGAGAAATTGCCAAAAGTAAAAAGTCTTTTAAAAAATGTAGAATTAAATAATAACATAAACACTAAATCAACTAACATTGTTCTTAAAACAAATTGCAAGAATCACGTACCACTATTAACAGAGGATGTAGGCGTACAAACGGATAGTGGCAAGTTCAATCATCATCTTATGATAGCTGAATTGAATAATGAGTTGTTATTAGCACTGAGAAACTTGAAAAATATATTGGGCAAAAACAAAATTAATAATAAAAAATTGCGTGATAGAGAAGACATTAGAAACGTACTATCTATGATTCAAATAGACTATTGCGAACTTTTAACTGCAGTTGATTTTAGCATAGAAAATTATACATTTAGTGACGAATTTTCAGAAGTAAAAAATTTTAAATGGTATAGAAATGAAAACACNAATAAAAAATTTTAAATGGTATAAAAATGAAAACACTTTTAAGATATCGAAAGAACCTATTCTGCACACAAACAGCCAGTTACTGGGGGATAATAAAAGTCAATTTGGTATACCAATTTTTAATAGTCTTAACCCTACCGTTTTACCTTTAGTATTAGATTCAAAGGCAACAGCTCTAGACAGCTGCTTTGGAACTCTTGATATCAAGTCTTTAGAAAATATTCACTATGATACAAAAGAACCGAGTATTGACAAAAAAACAGATCATAATGAGTCTGTTATTTCATCAAATGAGACTTCTCAAGACGCAACTCTTATACCTCACGATTTATTAACTGATAATTATAGTTCAAAAATACACAACGAAAATCTTTATAAAGAAAGACGTTATATTGGCAAATATGGTACGCCAAACATTATACAGAATACCGATGGAGTTTTAAAAAAAAATAATTTATCAAGTATAAAAAACAAAGTATTAACTAATTATAATAACAAAATTACATCAAATTATATGAAAAAAACATCTAGCAATGAAACTAAAAAATTAAAGAAAATTTCCATACAAGAAAATATCCAAACTAAATCAAAAACTTTACCTAGTACATCAAATTATGAACAACTAGAGAACAGTAAATTAGATGACGGAAACTATAGTATAAATGTTATTGGACAAAAGCATAAGTCACAAATCGTTTAGTAATAGGCAATATCATAATACTTAATTTAAATAGTAAATTAAAAAGTGATAGGACATGATAAAACATGGCAAATTAATTTTTTTCATTTTACTCTTTTAATCAAAATTTAAAAATAAAAATACAATATATTGATTGTTTAAGGGCTGAAACTATTATTTAAAAAAACGCATCATGGTAAAATTAATGCCTTCTCAGCTTCGTGTCAAAGCAAAAAATAATGTAAGCCCTATTTTAGCTCATATTGAGAATATTAAATATTCTCAATTAAGCTAAAATCTGAATCAATCAATAACAATACAAATTTAGTGTAGTTATTGATTAATTCAGATTGATTAAGTTAATACAATGAATGAATAATACAATTATATGAAGTTTTATAAAGATTTTTCTGACAACTTAATTTAGTGATCTCTTACTTTTTGTTTATTTTAGAAAAATATTAAAATTAAAATTTTTAATTTTTAATTTATCTGAGTATATGGCGCGTATTGTGACACAGTTTCATTCAGTCGCCATCTTAGCACTGATGTGTCAGCTGTACTATTTGAGGTTGGTTCCCAGATGGGTAACCATGCGGGAACTTTAACAGTGACATACACCTTACTTTCATACTGATTCCCTCAGCCTCAATGAGGTTTCATCAGGTCGATAACTGGTGTAAAATTACGCCAAATCGTAAAATCAGAGCTAACACTAAATAGTTGGGATAGAGGTTATGGTGATAATGATAAATTTATCTTAGTATAATATATATTAAAATTTTAAATTAGTTTTTAATATGCAATTTGAGTGAAATTAATGTAATGAATAAAATATTTTTATAGGACATTTCAACTAAGGATGCTTATCAAAAATTAACTTTTTATCAATCAATGAAAAACGAAATATTTGGAAAATTTTCAAATAAATCTATTACAAGTTTGTCGTAAACAAAAGTACAAATTATAGAATTAAAATGAAATTTTAAAATAATATATACAATGAAAATTAAGCAATAAACTATTGTAGTTTTACTAGATAAAAATGTAAATTTTTTTAATGAAATTCTATTAAAGTTATTAAAATTAATTTTACATAACTGATTTACTTTAATTAATATTTTATTTTTAGTAATCACTTAAGGGGCACACCTAGTGTGAAATTTTCAAAAAATCGATTTTTTTTTTCCCATATTTTGATAGGTTATACCTTTAAAAATAACATACTAAAATTTTAAATCGATATCTTAAATAGTTTTTGAGTTACAGCCATTTAAAAGAGTAGCCGCTCGGCAGTTAGATAGTTGCATTGTCTACGGGATATACCTGAAGTAAGTTTAAGCACGATTACCTCCCACTGGATCCAGAAGTTGAAAAAGGTCTAAAGCCTATTTATGAAGATTTATCTCGGCATAAATTGCTTGATAGATGCAAAGGTAGTAATACTCAAAACAATAATGAAAGTTACAACGGTTTACTTTGGCACTTTTCACCAAAGCACCTTCATAATGGATTGAAAACTATTGAATTAGCAAATTTTTTTGCAACTTCAATATTCAATGACGGTTACTCCTCAATTTTAAAGATATTTAATGCAATGGGAGTTAAAGTTGGACCTGCAGCAAGAGATTATACGGCTCTTAAGAACGAGACGAGACTACGAATCGCTGATCATCGCCAACGGGCTTGTTCAAAAGAGGGTCGATCATCTCGAAGAAGAGCTTCTTCAGCTCAACAAGCACTTTTTGAGGAAGAGGAAGGTGAATTATATGGGCCTGGAATAGCAGATTAGCTGTAAGTATGATTTTAATCCATTTATAACAGTGAAAACGATCATTTTATCTTTAAACGCATTTTTCTCGAAACAGCATTTTTCGAATTTGCTGGAGTGATTACTCGGAGACAAATAATCCGATCGCTATCAAATTTTTTTTGCATCTCCTCTATATAGTTCTCCATACGATGACCCTCCAGTTTTTTGATCTGATCAAAAATCGAATTTTGGCAGGCCAAAAACGACCAAAATTTTGGGAAAAATTTAACTTTTTTTTTCAACATGCCGCCATTTTGTTAATTTTTGATTTTTTTGTTCGCCCGAGGGTCATCGTACAGACAATATGTTTTAGTTTAACGAGAATTTTTTTTTTTAGGTTTTATCAACGGAGAAGGCTGCAATCACTCCAGCAGTGGAGGACCTTTTTTTTTTGGCGCCGCCGGAGATCGCGTGTCATTTCAAAAATATTTAATATTTTATTTCAAAAATTTTACTGTGTATTCTCAAAACATGTATAAATATACTCTCAAAATTTTAAATAGATGGATTCACTAGTTTTTTTTTTTTTTAATTCCCAAAAATGGCCTTTTTTTAGGTTGTCACACTAGGTGTGCCCCTTAATCTTTCTTTGTCCCTACTTAAATCATATACTCGATGAAAGTAATGATTAATTCTAAACCTTATTATTTTAGTTAATACTAGTATCTATCTTGATGTTTCTAGTGAGTTAAGAAATGAATATAAGCTGTCTTGTTTATTTTAATTAAACTGGAGTGTGACTGTCCACTTCTTGTGTATCAAATAAATAAGTAACACCAATGAATTGCGAAAATGCACTGTGGAAATACACTGCATGAGTTTTGACATTTTTTTGGTCCCTTTTATATTTTTGTTTTGTTGTTAATTTTGTAGTTGTATACATATGCCTACTTGATGACATATTTTTTGTTATTTTGATTTAAAAACTACGGGATGGATTTTGATAAAATTTCTATGGGACTAATTTAAAAGCATGTCCTTTTAAATAAAAAAAGAATTTTCGAAATCGGTTTATAAATGGCGGAGTAACATAAAAAATACAACCGAATTCATAACCTCATCCTTTTTTTTTTTTGAAGTCAGTTAAAAACAAATAAAAAAAAATTATGAGTACTACA